GCGAGTGAAACCTTGAAAGCTCGCGAGATCAGGATGGTCTCACGAGGCTATGATCGTGTAGTGTGCAGGCGGTAACGAGGGGCGGTCAGCCTCTCACGATCACCTCCCCATCAGTCGACCGCCGCGGGGAAATCGCTCAGTGGGCAAACAAGGATTCTTCTTTTTCCTCTCAGAGGAAAACCCAGCAGCATGGCGGGGGTGGAATGAGTGAAATGTAGTTCTTTCTGTCAAACTGACAGACCGTAGTAGCCATGTTAGCTCAGCCATGTCTTTGTCCAAATACGTTGTCTCCTTTTCTTTTTAGGGCTTTCAGCACAAAATTACCCAAATATCCAAGGCAGCGCGTTTCACTGAGCTATTCCTCTTCTACTCGTTTGGCTTCTCGATAGACGAGTCCGAGTAGCACCATCTCACTGCGGAGCTGACTCTCACCTGGTCTTTAGACGTACAGTGTGAGCAGGTAGATTGCATCAGAGCGTGCAATGATTGAAAAAATTCGCACAGTGTATGCCCGGCTTTATTCATAGTCTACAAGCTTCCGTTTGCCTTTGGTTACCATTGTTGCTACCTGATCCGTACCATCAGCTCATTTGCGCAACCAGATATACATCCAGGTTGCCCTCCGTTTTATTTAGTAAAAAAAGAGCTAAATTGTGTTTTTCCCTCCCTAAAAATTTGTGTTGTGCCAATGCCATTTTTTGGCCCCGATACCTGGCTGTGCACTATCGGCCGAATCAACAAAAAAGTGAATCCAGTAGAACTTTTTATTGCCTACCTGGAATGGGTGACAATAGTTGAAGAAACTTTTGGCTCTAAAAATGGTATCAGTGCCCTATTGGTTGGTACTCGCCGATACCATTTTAGTGCTGGATCGGGGCCCCGCCAAATACTAGTATCGTTATTGGAGCAACACTACTAAAAATAGTAAGCGTACTAAACTATAATGCAGGGGTCACCAACCTTTTTAAGGCTGAGGGCCACTTCAAGGGTACCGAGACTTAGGAAGGGCGACCATTACTGACCCATGAGCTGCAAGGGTTAGCGTTAGCCTAAACTTTGTTCATTATCAACATATTTTTATTGTTTCTGTTCATTTCTAAGTTTATTTAGACATTGCCATTTTGAAATCTCTATAAATGATTAAAAAGAAGAGCAACAGAATAAAATAAAATTTCAAACTTAGCCCACTGGTGGGTTGTTCTTTATTTAGAAGACTCTGAGGGCCCCCCATGTGGTCCTTGAGGGCACCGCGTTGGTGACCCCTGCTATAATGTTTTAAAGGTTAATAATGTATTTCCTGAGAAAATTAATGCATTAAAATCTTTTGTTTTATCTCTCTGTTCCTGATCTGCGCTGGAAATGGGATCCTACGCTACTTCTGAGAGCTAACTTTTCCGGATTTAAACATAAATCTAGTCTTTTTGAGTTTTACGCTTATCTTTCGTGTTAACATTATGGTATATAGTGCGTAATCTAAAGTTAGAAACAGCTAAAATGCAGATGAACATGGTTGTATCAGATTTTCTCAGACTGCTCTGATGATGTCAGAGAAGCTGTTTAATGGAAAAAATGTAAAAAGCATCAAAAAGGAGAGAAAGGAGGCCTCTGATTGGTCAATTCTACATCCGCTCTACACTATGCGTAATTCCTGTTTGGTACCTTACCGGTTTGTTTTGTTCGTATGACCGCCATTGTGGAAAACAACGTGTTTGCAATCGATACTTCCAAAAACAATTTGGAAAGTTCCACAATCTCCAGTAGTCAGCCGCGATCTTGTCCTACATGGTTTGTGTGGATTATGGCAGAAACTCGGACACTATCCCAGTTAGCTAGTTTAACTTGATCCACTGCAGTTAGCTAGTTTGTAGCTCGGTCTTTTGCGACCGTCTGTTGGTTTGAACCTGAAGTCAAAACACGCGACGCCACGGACAGTCTTTGGGGATGCTTGTAGACACGCTGTCACCACGCCTCAAAATCTGGCATAAATCAAGAATATCTGCGTCATACCTGCAACAAGCTAACTGCAACACACTGCTGCAGGAGTATACTGAGCCCTTTAGCATTCTTTAATGATTTAAGAATAGAAAGAACTCATTTTTGTACCATAATTACATTATTCTTGTTAACCTGGATTCATATCTGGACGCGCAAATGAGCTGATGGTACGGATGGTGCTCCTGGGATGTACCGGGTAGATCCAAGCATTAGCAACCAAGCATTAGCTGTGGTTAACATTAGCAACCGGTTGGCAAACGGTACAGAACGAGAGCGAGAGGTTGCGCCGCCTACTGGCTAGGAGGAGTTAAACCTGTTAGCTTCAAAGATCCAGAAAGGGTTTGATCCTAAATCAACACCAGAACGATCTGAATGATCCTGGAACAGCTGCTGCCGCACTCGTTATTATTTAAGTTATATAAACAATAAAGACTGACCAGCGGCGCTGATCAGAAACACCTGGAGACTTCATCATCTACCTGCAGGTTCCTGGTCCTAGAAATGTTCTCATGGATCTTTAAGGCACGGAGCGGTTTAGGGACCAGATCCACTGAACCCTTCCTGACTCTGACGCTGCAGCAGGGGCCCCGGGGCCTCAACATGTCAGAAAATTAAAGCTGGATTGAAATAATCCAGAAAAATCAGCGGATCCGTTTATTCTGGGCTAAAACGAAGGAAGGTTGATGTTTTGGTTTCTATCATAGAAAGAAGGAATATTGATCCTCTACGGTTCTCATGTTCTCTGCCTCCTGCGGCGCTCTGAGCTCATCAGCAGCCGCTTCCTGTCAAACGTTGCTGACTTTGCTCTTGGCCTTGGCTCCGCCCCCGGCGCCTGTTTTACTGTCAGACTTCCTGCCGGGTGAGTTCTGGTGGGCGGGGCCTGCCTGGCCGCCGCTGCTGTTGTTGTTGCTGTGGTTGGAGTTTCCGCTCAGGGTCTCCATGATGGAGCGGAAGGCCCCGAACGGCCTGCGGCTCTCCGAGCTGGCGGTCGGAGTCCTCTCCTTCCCCTGAGGGCCCTTTCCGGGCTCCGGCTCCTGATTGGAGCTCCTGTGGACCTGCTCGTCGAAGGTGACCCTCAGTTTGAGGTTCTGGGAGGTCTTCCTGCGGGACGACGGGGACTTCAGGGCGCTCTTGGGGCTGGTTGCCGCCTTCTGGCCGTCGGCGGGGGTTTCTGGAGTTTTCCCGTCGGCGGCGTCGGGATCGCTGGACGTGGGGGAGGGGTTGTAGCCGATGCTGTCCACAGACTTGGACCCGCTGAGAGAGAAGGCCAGCTTCCTCTCAGCCGAGGAGGACGAGGGGAGGTGCTTCCTCATTACCTGATGGAGGTGGTTCGATGCGGGCTCCTGCTCTGTGATTGGCAGGTGGGACGGCCTATCGGGGCGCAGAGAACTGGGGGGCGGGGCTCCCTGATTTTTCCCGTCCTCCGCTGGATAACCCTCTGAATCGGACTCGCTCAGAGAGCGCTGCATGATCTGCTTCAGTCTGGCCAGTTTCAGCTCCCTCCTCTCCAGCAGCCCTGTTCTGTGGCCCCCAGGGGCCTCTCTGCCCAGGCTGGCCCCAGGAGGAAGTCTCTCTCTAGAACAGAGGCCGTCCGGAGCCTCTTTCCCCAGAAGCTGCCGCAGGGTGGAGTCCGGCACCACCCCTCCCTGCCGGAGCAGCCAGTGTCCGTCTCCTGGGGTCCCCTCCGCCGTCAGCATCATCTCTGGACACGCCTCCACCAGGGGCTGATGGGAACTGGAGTCCAGAGAGGGAGACAGAAGGTCAGACATGTCTGATTACCTCTAATGGACTGGATCTAAAACTTCTGCTGCAAACTGATCTGATCGACATCAGAAAATCATTTCAAAGTTTTTTCCAACTTTACTGGAAAAAACATCCTAAAAAAAAATCACAGGAAATAGAAAAATAATGTTTGTAGAAACTTGTTGCTGAAGTGAGAAACCCTTAAAGCAAACAGATGGATTAGATTTCAGCGTTTGTTCGTCTAAAACAAACATTTAAACCCCAAAATAAGCAATGCCAAAGACTTTATATAACAAAAACATACATATAAATCCTCCCTTTATTCATTTTGACATGCAGCCTGAATACATTTCAACAATTTTATTATTTAACTAAAATATCATATCTAATCTATTTGTAAATATTCAACAGGAAAGTTAATTATTCAGTTGTGCACTTTAAAAATGTATACAATATATTATTCATGGGACCTTCAGATTTTTGTAATTAATGGCCTTCCGTACATCTGAAGTATTACATCACATATGAAATCTGCTTTTTTATTCTATTTTTCAGTTTTAATTCGTTTCTAATATTTTTTGGCTCTTTTTTTTATTTATTTATTTTATTAAAAGCTCAGTTCCAATTATAGCTTCAGCTTTTTATGTAAAACGACTTGCCTACTGGGCGAAAGGTTAAAAAAAAGAAAGAAAATCCCAGGTAAGGACAGAGCCTGCAGCAACACAGACCTGACTGCCATACTGCCCCCTGCTGGCGTGGTAACATACGGCAGAAAAAAAGAGACAACAGCAACTAGAAACTAGACCTCACATTGAGCATCTCTATAGTTCTGCTGCTATAGGCTTAGACTGCTGGAGGACATAGGGACCCCTTTTTCATCATTCTGCTTCATTCTATCTCTATTCTC